ATCCAAGGGTCCCGCTCTGAGAGCTTTCTCATGGAGTGTTCACTCGGGGAAAAATTCTAGAATCTCTCTGGAAAGGCTTCATTGGGTGGGGGCTTTTCCAATTCTTGGTGTCCACTCTGGATGATAAGAGAGGGGACCGTGGGGAGGAGAGCGGAGACAGATCCTCCCTCCAATTCCCGGTGCCTGCCTGGAAGAGTCCCTCTTTACCCCCTTGATTCTGAGGGCCTTGAGTAATCTTAGAGTGCAGACATATTCCCCCAGCCCCCACCCTGGCCGTGGCCAGTGGCTTCACCCACACCCTGAGGAGTAGGGGGACCTCTGGGGCCTTGTGGCCTCTGAGCACCTTGGCTGGGTTCCAGGGCGGACGGACGCCGGTGGTCTCTGGCCTCGCTCCCTTCATCTGGCTATGGCACCAACACGCCCAGTTCCACCGTCTCGGTGAGTGTGGAAAGTGGGTGGGTGGGCCGGTGGGTAAGGAATTCAGGGGGCCCTCCAGCCTGAAGACCCACACCCAGGCCAGCAGTCCAGGCTGGGCTTGATGGCAGTTTAGGGCCAGGCACAGTGACTCATGCCTGTAATCCCAGTACTTTGGAAGGCCAAGACAGGATTGCTTGAGCCTGGGAGTTCCAGACCAGTCTGGGCAACACAGGGAGACCCTTGTCCCTACAAAAATTAAAAATTATCTGGGCATGGTGGTGCGCACCTGTGGTTCCTGCTATTTGGGAGGCTGAGATGGGAGGATCGCTTGAGTCTGGGAGGTATAGGCTACAGTGGAGCTGAGATTGCACCATGGCATTCCAGTCTGGACGACAGAGTGAGACCCTGTCTCAAAAGAAAAAAATAAAAAAAGACAGTTTGGGTTTCCCCATCCTCAAGGGTGTTCACTTGTCCATCTGTTAGAGAGTTATGAGTCTGCTCCACTCAAAGCCCTATGCTCTGCCCTCAACACATTTATGGGAGGGTCCTTCCTACTCATTTCTGACTCACTCATTTACAGCTGGTGACATAAGGCTCTGTGAGTTAAGCCATTTACCCTGATATCAGCAGCTGGGCTGGGCCAGGCCACAGCTTTCACCCAGAGCCCATTTGCTCACCCTTTGCAATACCCAAAGTCTCTCCATCTGCTCCCTTTTCTATCCATGCCCATGGTTCCCTTATTCATCCATTGGCATGATGTTCAGCAGACATTTGTCATGAGACTGTCATGTGGTAGGCGGGTTCTGCAAGCTGGGTCAGAGTGTAAAGATTCACACAGCCCTCATGGGGGAAGACAAGCCAGTAAGAAGGCATTCACAAAATAGAATGGTCAGAATTTTGATGCAAGTAGAACAAGGGGAGGTGATAGCAAAGGAGACACATGTGATTCAGCTTAGGGGGTTGTCAAGGAAGGCTTCCTGGAGGAGGTGACATTGAATCCAAGACAAAGGACCAGCAGGAGTTTGGCAGGTGGAAGAGAAGGGAGAAGAGTGTTCCAGGAAGGGGAAGAGCATGTGCAAACCTATAGAGGCCATAGAACTTGCTGCATTTGAAAAGTTGAAAGCTTTGTGGGGTTGAAACTTTGGGATGCGGGGGAGGAATAGAGACGATGCAGGCTGGCCCTTGATCAGGCTGGAACCTTGTCAGCTGGGGCAGCAAGGGAAATTTTATTCTAAATCCAGTGGGGGAGCCATGGAATGGCTTTATTTCTTTATATTAAATTGTACTAAAATTTCAGTTTGAACCATTTGAAATTGTGATTCTGTAGGCCATAGATAATGTACACTCATTTAAAAAATAAAAGAGATGGATGGGGTGGGGAATTTTAACCAGGGGAGTGAGCAATGTGATGTTTAAAAATATCATTCTGGCCGGGCACGATGGCTCATACCTATAATCCCAGCATTTTGGGAGATTGAAGCGGGTGAACCATTTGAGGTCTGGAGTTCAAGACCAGCCTGGCCAACATGGTGAAACCCTGTCTCTAGTAAAAATACAAAAATTAGCCAGGAGTGGTCGTGGGTGCCTGTAATCCCAGCTACTCAGGAGGCTGAGGCAGGGAGAATTGCTTGAACCTGAGAAGTGGAGGTTGCAGTGAGCCAAGACTACACCACTGCACTCCAGCCTGGGTGACAGCTGTATGGCTGGGCACAGTGGCTCACACCTGTAATCCCAACACTACAGGAGGTTAAGGTGGGAGGATTGCTTGAGCCCAGGAGTTTAAGGCCAACCTGGGCAACATGATGAAACCCTGTTTCTAAAAAAAAAAAAAA